TATATATTTGAAAATCTTGATTTAAAATTGATTAGCATTACAAATAATGAGTTTTTGAATAAAGGATTGCTGATAGGTAGTAGTGATTGCGATATTTAGAGCAAATGGGAATCTGTTTGGGTTTCTGCTATTGGTGCGAGGTAATTTAGTGGTCATTGGGTGGTTTGTGTCTGTAAGGATCTTTTTAAAGATATTATTACATGTCTTCTCAAGTAATTCTTCAATGTCAAAACAAATATATCAACTATATAAACTATATATCATGTGGCTAATAGCGTAATATATATGTATATATATATTTATATATATATATATATATATATATATATATATATATATATATATATATATATATATATATATATATATATATATATATATATTTATAGATATAATAATATGCATGTATATATATATGTATATGTATATATACATATATGCATATATATATATATATACATATATATTTATATATATATATATATATATATATATATATATATATATATATATATATATATATATATATTATTATATATATATATATATTATTATATATATATATATCTGCCCTGACCCCAAATTAGAACTTAAAATTTTTTACAAATTTTTTTTTTGAGCATTGGAAAAGTCCCCTCAGGGCAAAAGGATCGATTTTTGTACTTTTTTTAGGAAAACTTTGCCTCGCTTGTGGGAGTAATTAAATTCTCTTAAATCTCAACCAATTTAAGAAATAAATTTCCTTAAATCTCAACCAATTTAAAAAATAAATTATTTATTAACATGATAATAATACCTAATACTTAAGTTTAATGGGCTCTTTGTTTTAATTCATATTTAGGTATTTGTTTATTTTTAACAAAAAATGGGTTTTTAGTATCAAAATATCTTATATTTTAGTGTTTTTTTAATAATTTTATATTCGAAATTAATTATTTAATTAATTCGAAAATAATTTTGGATTCGAAATTATAATTTTTTGACCAAGTTTGTTTTGCGTAAAGAATAAAAAAGATTTTAAATAAAGTAGAGAGAGAAAAATTGTTTTCAAGATTAAAATTTAAATTTATTTACTTATTTTTCTAACATACAAATATTTAAACATTTAATTTTAGATCAGCATAAAATAATAATAATTTATAAGATGCCGCTTAAAAAGAAAATTAAAATAATTGATAAAACTCCTGCATAATATCTGTTCTTGTTGTTGCGTGGACACGTGGTGGCTTTGAGGTTGTTACAACCCAGAAGCTAAGGTAATAATAGATCAAACTTTATACCTTATAAAAAGACCAAAATTTATTTTCAAGTTTTTTTAGGCACTTAATAATAATAGTTTTATTTCAAAGGATAAAGGTAGAAAAAATGGTGAAGGACTGGATGAAGCTGAAAAGCTTAGGTAAAAGAAACAACCCTGCTGAAATGAAAAAGAGAAAAAACTTTATTGAAAATATGAAAAAGGTTTTCTGGATTGGAGAAAACCCAAATATGATTGAAAAAATAAGGAAAGACAGATTGAGAAACCAAAATGACAAAAATGAGGAAAACATAGCTTTCCTTAAAGAACAAGACCCTTTCCTTAAAGGAAAGGAAAGCAAGGTTAGGGGGTTTGAATATAAGATTTCAGTACTAAATAAAAAAAAAGTGTAAATATAAATGTAATTATAGTAAGCTAGACAATGTATCTGATACAGATTCTGAAACTTCATCATGTTCTCTTAATACCTATAAAATTTTTTCAACTGATAGTGATTTTGAAATAGAGACACATATTGATCCTAGTTTTGTCAACCTACCCAAGGATATCTTGCACCGTACTGCTCACACAGCCGTTGGAGAGGGTTTAACTCCACATCAACACACAGTGATTCTTTGCAGTATTATAGTCAATTCTGGAGGATGCACGTCTGATTTTGTATGCTCATACTCATCTTCATACAGAGCAGCAGAGAACGCTGTGTTTATGGGTGCAAATGAAATCAGAGACCATATAAAAAGAATTTCTAATAACAATTTATTTTGATGGAAAAGTTCTCAAAGAACTTACTGAAGGAAAATAGTTTTCAAAAGATAGGTTATCTGCTATTGCTAGAATTAAAGGACAAACTGAGTTACTTGAAGTTATTATAGCTATTGACGCCAATTCTGGAGAACACCAAAAAGAAGTTAACTTTGAATTAGAGGATAAAGTTCAGTGTCTTTGCTTTGATACCACTAGCGCTAACACAGGTAAAATAAAAAGAGCTTGTAACAGAATAATTATGCGCTTACAGCGCCCTATATTGTTAACTGCATGTTGACATCATATTTGTGAGCAGCATGTTACCCATTTTTGGGAGCTTTATCCAAGCAATCATACTTCAGGGCCAGAAAATAAATTATTCAAATTTCTTAAAAACCATTGGAATGATCTAGATACTGAAAAGCAAGATTTGAAAAGATTATCAACTTCGATTGGTTTCTGGATTTATTAACAAAAGCTGAATGCAATTTAATTTTGCAGATATATAATTAGCACTAAAGTTTTTAAAAAGGTCAGACTAATAAATAGTTTTATTAAAACTTTTATAAATTAAATCTAATTATTTCTTACAATTTCAAAAAAATAATAGAGTAAAATAGTAATTCACTTATAATTTTCCAGTTTTATCTGAACTTTAATTTTGTTTTTAGTTATTTAATTTATCATTAATTGTTAATAAATAAACTGAGTGGTTTCTCAGAGCCAAGTTAAGTTCAGCTGCTCCGACACAGGTATACTATCTGAATAGCAGTTTGAAAGTAAATATATAACTTTGAATAAATTCATAAAATAGGTATACTATTTTTATAAGTTAAACATTGATAAATTTAAGCATTAACTATTAGGACATAAAATAGTTATGGCAGATGAAAAGATTCGAGGATAGGAATTAAGCTGGCGCTCAAGCTGTTTCTAAATCCATACAACAACATCCTTGGTACCTTGATCCATATTTAGTCATTTTAGCAATTGCAGATAAGAAATGTCAAGAATGTGGCAACATGGCTAAAAGACTTATTAGTCTGAAATGAGGTCCCATAGAAGAATATTCCTTAGAAAGACAGGTGTTGGATAAAGACACTCTAATGAGTCTAAACTTTTCACTGGATGAGCCTCCCAGTTTAGTTCAACTAATTACAGATAAGTTATGGCTTATGTTTGACATGCTTGGTCATGGAAAAGCTGAGATTCAATGGATGAAATTTCTTCCAGAGCATTGGATTTTAAATGATTTTTATCAAGATTTTGAAACAGCCATTATAAATCTTCACATTGTGAATGATTGTTCAGAGAGAACAGTCAAGTTTGTTCAATAACTTGTTAACAAAGTACATTCCGAAGAGAGAAGACAAGATACATTTCTTTTTACTCATATATATAAGGGAAATCAAAATGGAAGAAAAAATTTGGGTCATGCCGAAGCTGCACTAAATAGTATTATTTAATATCAACTTTTTGATTCAATTTATTTTGAAACAATTGTAAATTTTTTGTTTTTGTTAACTGGTACTATTATTTTTTTATTGCTTATAAAAAAAACTTTATTGTTTTTAAACAAATATTGTATTGTTTTGGTGATTTTCAATGTTTTTTTATCGCTCTTAAAGTTACCTAAATAAATAATTATGAAAAGAGCCTCTAAAACAATAGTAGAAGAACTCATTACCATGTTATTAGTTAGTTTAATTTTTAAATTGGTTAAGATTTAAGGGTCCCACAAGCGGGGCAAAGTTTTCCTAAAAAAGGGGAAAATATAAACCCATTTGCCCTGTGTAGAGACCTTTCTGATGCTCAAAAAAAATTTTGTAAAAAATTTTACTAATTTGAGGTACTAATTTGAGGTCAGAGCAGATCATAAGCTAGGGCAGATCATAAGCTAGGGTTCTTATCAAAATTTTGACATGACCTATTTTTGAATAACCCTAATATAATATATATATATATATATATATATATATATATATATATATATATACACATATAAGTGAAATTTTTTGAGGTTATAGTTAAGTTTTTATTTATTTTAAAATTTACTTAATTTTTACAAATCTCTTTAAGTAAGATATTATGGTAGTAAAAGATGAGCATTTCACTTGCTACTATTATCTGTCTTTCTACACGAATAGCAAAATTAATGTGTTTCATTTAAAAGATAATGGAATAGAGTAAGAAAATGTCAAGTTTTTAAAAAAAAGGCAACCTTGCGATATTCTATTTTTTCAGCCTTATCTTTGGGAAAGTTAAAATTGTTGAATTTTATATAAACATTTAGTTGATCATAAATATGTAGTAAACATTTTAAACATCAACATTATTTTAAAAAGTTATTACAAGATTACTTTAGAGATATTAAACTAAGTTTTCAAGCTGTACTCTTGTTCCTAAATAACAAAAAGAGTTGCATTGCATGTCTTGCGTTCATCATCCTTTAGTTTTCCCTGTGGTGTTTAGTTGTAGTGTATAGTCTTCAGAACTGGAATTCCTTGGTGACAATTTGGCTTTGGCCATATATGCATTATTGGTAATGAAGAAGGCATGAACTTTCTGGCTAATAGCTATTTTGCAGTGCTCTATGATAAGACTATTAGGACTTTTTGGAGCATCTAAATAACTAACAAAATAAAAAAGTTTTACTGTGTTTGCATTCCGCAGCTGTGCAATTTGGTCAAAACAAATTGAATACTTAATTTTAAAATAACAAAAAATAAAACATGGAATTAATATTCTTTTAGATTTTCTAGAGATCAAAGAAAACAAAGAAATTTGAATTCCTTTTGTTTAATAAATTTATATATTTTTAAACATTATAAAAGATATATCTGTATTTATGAATTTATTACTTAAATTAAGCCTGAATACAAACATTCCCAATCATTTAAATCAATTAAAGAGAATTTAAAGTTATTTTTAAATGTTCTTTGATGCTTATAAGTTTTGTATCGATGACTATATATTACTGTATATTATTATTGTTTAGATAATGAAATTCTGCCAAATACTCAGCTTTTCCTAAAAGGTTTGAAAATGATTTTTTTCTGATTTATTCTTTTACTTTGTAGTAGTAGTTGTATATGATGATGCATAATGATATGTAAATGACTTTGTAACTGTACTATATGATATTTACATTTACTCAAATAATTAGTGATTACATGAAATGATTACATGATTGTAATGTGTGTTTTGTATATATAGTTTTATTCTTATTATATTAAAGTATATGCAGTAAATTTTAGAACTCATTTGATATAAATTATTAAATTTTATCAAAGTAAGCTTTTCTCATAGATTCTGTTGTAGTGCTTGACGAAGATATATTGAAAAAAGATAATCTAATTGCAACATTACCATCACTTGAAAAAGCATATTTAGTGTCATTCAAGATAAAACCCACTTTGTTTTCACCAGGATACAAAAACATAATTCATTTGACTACTGCCGGAGATGCGGGTGATTATAGATTTAGAATTCCTAGTGTATATTTATATGACACAGGAAAACTCTCTATTTGGTATTCATTCACTTGGTTTTCTACTAAAGAATACATCGTACCTCAATCACTATCTTTAAATGAATGGACCAGCATTAGAATATCTCAAGATCGCATTAATAGTATATACTTCTTTAGAATATATATAAATGGAACGTTAATGATTGACATTAAAAATACATATCCATTATCATTTGATAATGTTAAAGTGTATTGTACAGATCCTTGGTATGAAACGCAACCTGCTAGTATTAAAGATCTAAAAATATATAGTGGAAATGTTGGTAAGATAAATAACAACATTTAAAAAAGCAGCCTTTAATTTTATATATGCAATAGTTTATTAATACTCAATAGTGTATATGCAAAAGTTTTTTTAACCCTAGTTTATAATTTTTTATATGCAAAAGTATAAATTTATACAAATATAATTATATATATGCATATGTTTTTACATATATGTATGTGTGTGTGTGTTTGTGTGTGTGTGTGTGTTATTATATATATATATATATATATATATATATATATATATATATATATATATATATATATATATATATATATATATATATATATATATATATATATATATATATATATATATATATATATATATATATATATATATATATGTAATCAGGCCTCGTTTTAAATTAAAAACAGAAAATTGTTATTTTCTATATGTACATATTGGAGAATCTCTACTTTGTTTCAACTTTGTTTCAATTTTTTTTTTTTTTCTTCTGTTTTTCAATATTAAATAATTAAGTTTAATATTACATTTTTCATTATCCTTTAATATAAAATTCTTTCTTTTTTCAACATTTGTATAAATGAATAAAAATATCTTAATATTTGTTTTTATTAAAAAGTGCAAACTTGCAAATAATGGTTTATTACTATTAAAAAGTTATTTTCAAACAAAAAATATTACTTATTGCAAAGAAAGAAGCTCATGTTACTTACTTTATTAACTCTTTTTTTTGTGACAAAAAAAGTTTTTAGTTTTTAAGTACCATTTATAAAAAATATATAAACTATTGTCCTTTCACTTGCCTTAAAGCAAAAAAGTTGAATGTACGCTTTATGAATATTTTTGATGCAGTGTTATAATTTGTAACAGGTTTACAAGGATTTTTTTTTTTTGCAAAAAGTAGAAATGTGAAAAAAAAAAGTTAAGAAAATTTTTTTTATTTAATCAACATTTTATTCAAAATTCTTTGTAAATTATAAGAAAATTTTTGGTTTCAGTATTTTGAAATTGCATAATCTGTTAATTATTTAAAGCAGATCTAATTTTTATAAAGTATTATTTTTCTAAACTACTATTTTTCGCAAAATAAAACTTATAATTATAAACAAAGACTGTTTTTTTTTTTTGATATAAAAAGTAAACTCTTTATAAGTTGTTGTTTAAAGTTTGTAATAATGTTTTTTCATTTATTTGATATTTTTCAATTATTATAAATAAATAAATATACAACAAAAAATCAAATTATCAAAAGTAATGTGAATAAAAAATAAATTTTTACGTGAACTATTTTTTAGCTAACAAAAATCAGTGGCAGGATAGCTCAGTTGGTTAGACCATCAAGCGAAAAGTTATTCTTAACTCGGGCTGTTGTACCATACGAGTTCAAATCCTGCCACTGCCAACTCTGCGCTTGAGTAGTACTTTGATACGCAAATGTTTGTCAATAACAGACTCTACTTTGAATTAGTCTTAATGACTATTTGTGGCTGTTCCTATGCTAAGCCAACAGCATCTTTGGTTTTAAGAACATTGTATAGAAAAATATAGAATAAAAATTAATATGATCATAAAAATAAAAAAAATAAAAAAAACAATTTTTTGTTTTGATTTTTCGTTTTTAAAAAAAATTATTTTTTTTATTGTTTATTATGAGAAATTGTCCAAGTTGCTAATTTAAGATAATAAATAAAAGTTTTTTTAATTTGCTTCTTTTATGATTTCTTTTTTTTAAGTATCCTATAACATCTTTTTTTTTATGCAGAACATTTTTGATGGAAAAGTTAAAATAATAAAAATATTATATTAACTTTTCTAATTTATAATAATATTTTTTGTTTTACATTTGTAAATAACATCAAATGTAATTTTGATGCAAACTTTATGTAATCGTCTTTATGTAACTTTATGTAATAATCTTTATGTAATCAAAACTTTACGTCATTTAAACTTTGTAAGTGGTTTTTATAACGTTAATTATATATTCTAATAATTAAGACAAATTTTTTAATTTTACTTAAAATCATTTATTTTGTAAATACATGTTTCGACTATATCATAGCCATCATTAGTTAAAATATATAAAAATGCTTAAATCAAATTATTAAAATTAAGTTGAACTAATAGAGACCTTATGATAAAAATACAGTAAAAATGCAATTTAAAAATGTAGCAAATGTTTTAAAAAGATAAAAAAACTAGTAATGTTAAAAGGAACTAGATTGAAATTGTCATTTTTACATGGTTCATTTGTTTATTAATAGTGGGTTTTTCCCACTCTATGTACATGCTTTCTTTGAGTTTTAATATAAATTTTTTGGAGGCTGAATCCAAAATTGAAAAACTAGCATGATTAAAACTATTAAAACAGCTTTTATTTGAATGAATATGTTTATAAATATTTGAGTTTTTATCCCTGTTTTGGTGCTTGATTAATCGTGTTTTTAAATGGTGAGTAGTTTTGCCAATATAACAGGATTTACAGCCTGTGCATTTAAACTTATAGACAACAAATGAATTAAAATCTGTAGGAAAGAAATCTTTTGTGGAAAAAAATTTTGAAATTTTAAATGAAGTAAAAACCAATCTTACAGTGACCAAATTACAATATCTTTTAATGATTGCGTTTAGTCTTTGTTTGGTTAAATCAGATTTTTCCAATATAAGGAAGTTTAAAATATTGATAATTTTGTAGGTTTTCCAAATGATAAAATTTCAACATTGGTGCTGTTAATATAAGAGCTATGGATTTTCTTAATCAACCAAGGCGGGTACAAGTTGCGCTTGAGAACTTTAAAAAAGTCGTTAATAGCATGACTAAAACTGAGACTAGCGTTGTTTATTTTATAAGCTCTATCAATTAAGCATTTAACCAGACTAACTTTGTTTGAAAATGAAGTAAAACTAAAAAAGTTTGTGTAGAGTCCCATAAAGGTTTTCTTATGAAAAACAGTGGTGATTGTGGAATTGTTTGTTTTATTTAGAGTTAGGTCCAAAAAATATATTTTTGATTGAATTTCTTTTTCTATTGTAAAAGTAATAGAACTATGTTTATTATTGATATGTTCCAAAAAAAAATTGGCGTGATTTTCGGAAGTGAAAGCAGCAAAAGTCTCATCTACATACTGTTTATAAAAAGTTGGTTTTTCTCCGTTATATGATTTGAGCCATTTATTTTCAAAATTTCCTATTAAAAGATTAGCAAGAACAGGTGCTAAGGGGGAACCCATAGCAACACCATCAGTTTGGTCATAAATTTGTCCTTTAAGAGAAAATGAGTTTGAGATGTTGCAAAATTGAAGAGTTTTTTTAAATCACTTTTACTAATTTTAAGATTAACTCTACTATTTATAATGCTACTGATGGCAATATCGATTGTTTTTTGTAGTGGAATATTGGTATATAAACTTGTAATATCATAAGATACTAAGAAATGTTTAAGAAGGCTAGCTTGGTTTACTTTTTTAGAAAAAATGAAGGAATCTTTAGTGCAGAATTCCGAAAGTATTAGTGGAGATAGTAGTTCTCTAAGAAATTTAACTATTTGATAGTTATTAGTACCAATGGATAATACAATAGGTCTGAAACTTATATTATCTCAGAAGAAATCATCTTATGTAATTTTGGAAGACCATAGATGCAGGCTAGACGAGAGCCTGAAAGATATATTTTATTATAGTTGGATTCAATAAAGAAACCTTTTTTCTTGAAATTCCTTAAAAAGTTTTGTGTGTCTCTAGTGGTAGTCACATCTTTTTTAAGTTTTTAAATGACAATTTTAATCTAGTTCCTTTTAACATTACCGGTTCTTTTATCTTTTTAAAACATTTGTTACATTTTCTACATGCATATGAATAAAGGTGATACAATTATGTATATATTTTTCTAATAGCAGATGTCATGGAAATCAGTAGTAACTTACTAAAAGAATTAGTTAAGATTGCAAATTATTAGTAGTGACATCCTTGAAATTTGTTATTTTTTAATGTTGTTATGATCCATACAAGAAACTTTATTACAAATTTTTTCAAAAATTATTGTATTAGCAGCTGGTAATACAATCTTCATATATATCTTCATCTAAAAAACAACATTTGTAAAAAATTCTACAAAATAATGAAAAAATGGCAAAAACATTAAAAAAAATTAAAATAAAAGTTAATAAAGAAGACCCTAAAAAAATAATAGTATTTAAAAAAATGCAATTTGACTGTCTGCGCAGGCTGTCAAGTTGCCTTTTTTTCATTATATTGTAGAATTTTTTACAAATGTTTTTTTTTTTTTTTAAATGAAGATATATAACATTTTAAGAAAATTTTAGACTACCAAATGCTTTGTAGTCTAAAATTTAAAAAGATTAAAAATGACAAAAAAAAAAAAACTTTTTTCTTTGAGTACTTTTAAAGCATGATATTTAAAAAATCCGTCTGTCAACCATATATGTTTTATCTTTTTTTAGGTCTCAACTTGCTAACATGTTACAAATTAATGAATTAACAATGAAGTATTAACGTAATGAAGTATATAATAATGTAATATAATAACTATAAAAAAATATGGACTTTTGTATATATATATATATATATATATATTTATATATATATATATATATATATATATATATATATATATATATATATATATATATATATATATATATATATATATATATATATATATATATATATATATATATATATATATATATATATATATATATATATATGTATATCTATATATCTATAAATAAAAATAAACTTGCCTCAGAAACGTAAGATCCGTGGTTCAAACCCACCTCTGGGCAAGTTTTGCGACATCGGTTAGGAAGGAGGCGTGAACTTCCTATTAAATGCTCTTCCGCGGTGCTCTGTGATAAGACCATAAGGACTTCTTGGGGCACCTAAATCAACATTTAAAAAATATATATATACATATATATAAGTATATATATATATATATATATATATATATATATATATATATATATATATATATATATATATATATATATATATATATATATATATATATATATATATATATATATATATATATATATATATATATATATATATATATATATATATATATATATATATATATATATATATATATATATATATGTGTGTGTGTGTGTGTGTGTGTGTGTGTGTGTGTGTGTGTGTGTGTGTGTGTGTGTGTGTGTGTGTGTGTGTGTGTGTGTTTATAATGTAATATAATAACTATAAAGAAATATGGACTTTTGTCTATATACATACACATATACATATATATATATATATATATATATATATATATATATATATATATATATATATATATATATATATATATATATATATATATATATATGTATGTATATTTAAATATATATATATATGTATATTTAAATATATATATTTATATATATATATATATATATATATATATATATATATATATATATATATATATATATATATATATATATATATATATATATATATATATATATATATATATATATATATATATATATGTATGTATATATATATATATGTATGTATATATATATATATATATGTATATGTATATATTTACATGATTGCTGTCACAGCTCTTAGTTTGATGGCACTTCCTTGCAAAGTTGAGCTTTTATTGACTTTTAAATTTACTTATTAATATCACTAGATTCATAAATCATTAACCATAGAAACTTATAAGTAGTTTTTTTTTTTGTTTTAAAATCCTTTCTTTAGGATTCAGATCTAATAACTTTAACTATTATAGCTTTAATAATATAAGTAAAGTGTTAAGGAAAAAAAGTTTTTAAGTAAGTTTTTATTTATTTTAGATCAAATTTATGTGACAAATAATATAGTTGCAAAAGCTTAAGATTCGCATCTTTTTAGTAGATTTTTAGGCCAACATTTCTTTTGAATAGGTTTTAACTTTGTTGTTTTAATTACAGCACTGTTTGGTTAAATGCTAAATTGCTTCCTCATGTTTATCATTGATAGTTTCCGAGCCACACACTTCTTAATTGAGTTCTTAGTTATCTGAATTCTATGAGGGAAACCTTGACAAAATGTTTATATAGCCTTTTAAAGTACAGATTTCAAGGCATTTTGAAAAGTCTATGTTCTTTAATGTTTGATAAATATTCTAGATTCAAAAAGTACCAGCACAGGCTTTCAAGACTGCTTTGCCTTTTTCTCTCAAAACATTTCAAAATTTATTCTTTATTGCAATGTAATGAGTATAATCTTGCTGTTTTATTCTGTTTATAAGAAGCTTGAGTTTTCTCTCAATATAAGAAAAGTTCCATCCTGTTGGTAAAAGGGTCCTGCTGAAAATTTAAATGATTGAAGAGACGTCATAATGTTGTATATAATGTTTACTTGGTCATTACTACAAATCAAATCTAATACCTTTAATGATTATTGCTATAATAATTAAAGGAGAAAACGTTTTTCATTATTATTATGATTAAATCTTTAACTTTAAGAAACCATGTTTTTCTGTAAAAAAGGATATGCAAAACCTCTTTTCTGTGCTGTTTTCTTGGAGGACGTCATTTTAAGTAGATATTTAAAATAACTTGACAATTTTCACTACTAACATATGTTTAATATGTTAGTAGTGAAAATATATAAGAAGTATTCCACTGTGTGAAATTGATTTTTTCCATATATTATATTGATGGCTACATTTTTGGTTTTACTTTTACTTTTTTTTTTCTGGTGCCCCAAAAAGGTGTCTTGTCACAGAGCACCAAGGTGGAGCATTAGACTCGAAAGTCAAACTAGGAATAAATGCTGACAAACGAGAATTATTCTTTCCTTCCGATATATAATCGAGTTGATTTCAGTTTGGAATATAATAACTTTAGGAATTCTTTATTTAGGAATAAATGCAGACTAGTAGAATTAATCTTTCAATTTTATTCTATTTCTATTTGGCAATAATAAAAAAGTTAAAAATTGAGCTATAAATTTTTTTTAGTGTCACTAAGTTTGAAATTTTTTTGCAAAAACTTGTTGTATTTTAAGTTATGTCGAATTGCATCAATCCCATGTAGTTTAAAACTTTAATTTGTCAATAAAGCATTGCTTGAGCTTTTGCTGCACAAGGGTTAACTAAAATAACTTTCCTTAGGTTTCGTAAGGTTTAACCAAATAACTTTCATTATTTGGAATCAACTATGTACTTAGGGCACTGTTACTTCTCTTTGATTTTGTTTGTTTATTAATTAACATAGAGGTTTTCTTCATTATTTTTTCCTTTTTTTTTTTTTTTTTTTTTTGAACTTTTTACAGTATTTATTAATCAGTAGATTTTGACTTGGAGTTTTTTTTTCAAACTAAGCATAAGTAACATTTTTAATCTTCCATCACCAGTTTAGCATTTTAATCCATCTTTTGTTGTTTTAAACAAGGTTTTTTCATTTCATTATGCAATATTCATCTATTGTCATGTTCCATTGCTTCAGCAAACTTCTCATTCATTTTTTTATTTTTTTATTGAGTTTTCCATTTATTTTTTGATTTCAGAAACTCATTTACTATACAAATTAATCTTAATAAATTTGTTTGTATCTTTAGTAAACAGCTTTTTAATTGTTGTAAATCATTTTTACACCTTGGGTCATGATTTTTGATATCTTCTTTTTCAGCTAAGAAGCTAATTACAACCAAATTTTGATTTTCAAAAATTATTATCGAATTTTAATACTTTATCTAAAAATCTTTTTTAACCATTTACATGAAGTTAATTGACTTACTCTTAAGTCAACATAAACATATTATGTATGTAACATTTACTCCATTTAAATAAAATGTTAAGCTAATAAAAAACTAGTTTATGATATTTTATTTTTAAAATAAATAATTTATTAAAATTTGACTTTATATTTATCTTTATATTTCTTTATGCCATTATTAATTATATTTTACGGATTATAAACAATAAACAATAAAAAAATTTAGCACAAAATTGTTTTTTCAACTTGAAGTTTTGATGGAATAAAACTAATCATTATTAATTTTAGAGCAACTAATAGAAGATAGAGAAACGCCTTTGGCTCAAAACAAACTGGTGGCAATTGTTCCAATTTTAGATAAAACTTATAAAATTTATTTTGATGTGAAACCAAACTTATACTCTAAAGGTTGGCACAATGTTATTCGTTTTAAAATTAATTCTGATGCAAAACCATATAATGATAAAGTTCCAGGAGTTTGGCTTCATAAGAGTGGTGATGGCAGTCTTTCTATCACTGTTCCTCGAAATGGAAATATTAACAATTCCTTTAAAACAGCTCCTATTCCTATTAACATGTGGTCACACATTGAAATAAGTCAACAGTTAGTATATAGTGCGTTTGTGTATACGATAGAATTGAATGGAAAAAAAGTTTTTACAGAAGAAAATATTTATCCAGAATCCTATGAAAATGTTCATGTTTATGCTTCAGATCAATTTTATCCAGCTCAAAATGGTTTTATAAAGGATTTTGCAATAATAAATGGAAAAGCAGGTATTTATAAAGAATCTGAAACAGTTAGATTCTTTGATAAATGATTATAATATTTATTACTGTCATACTTAAATAATAATTTACCTGTTATGTTTGGCAGCATGTAAACAGAAATTGCTTCAATTATAAAGCTTATCTGTTTTGAGACCCATTTTTTAATGAGATATTAAATCAGGCATATTCAATATTTAGAACAGTGTTTTAAATAATTAATTAAAAGTTTATGGTGAGAAATAATTTTGAGTAAATGTTCTTATTAGAAATTAGCAGAAGGAATCGGTAAAGTTTTTCAAAGTTAAGATCAGTAAACTTTGTAGCTTTAGAATTTTATATTGTCTTTATTGATTCGGCTAAAATAATTTCTAATTTTGCATACTTAATTAACAGTCTTTATCTCCAAACTGAATCTTGATTTAAAATTATTGAATTATATTAGTAACATGTAAGATTGAATATTTTGGTACCACGTCATAAACTTAGTTTTTTATTTGATTATTATCAAAACATTTAACTTGTAAACAGTAAAATAAATAATTAATCTTTATATTGATTTTTTTTTTAATTTACCTAGAAAATTTAATTTATTGGGTGCTATGTGGTGACTTAGTATAATAAAAGCTCTTCCAGGTTAATAGCCCTCCTAAATATTCTTTTATTAACTTCTTTTAGAAAGCCTTTCTTAATTAGAGTTACATTTAACTTCTATTAATTTTTTTTACCATAAATAAATTTTAAATCAGAAATGAGTTTTTTTTTTTAATGCTTCTTGGTGATAGGCAAATTTGATTTTTTCAGATTTATTGACTTTTTATTGAATTTTTGAACATATGAAAGAGTAAGCTTATATATTGTTTTCTTATATTTAGTATACTATTTATAAAAACATTTTTCTTTTTTGGTTGTAAAATTTTGGAGATAAAAAGTTGGTAATGAGTAAACAGGTTAAAAAACGTAGTTTGTCGCAGTAATTAAACCAGGGGGTAAGTATTCAACAATTATTGCATTGTTTTTTTTTAATTTGTTAAATATTTCACAGACTCAGAGCATTTAAAAAAACAAAATGTTTGATACTTTTGTTTATCTTTTCATATGTTGATGACTATTATTCTTTGATTCAATATCCAATAGTCACATGCTAGGCCTGGCTATTTACTTAGTTATCAATTTATATCTTTGTTTTAAAATCAGGTTTGGATTTCGTGACTATTCTTTTATTTGCAGTTATTTAGCACCTATTTACTTATTCATCTTTCTTTTTGATCGTCATCATTCTTCTTCCTATGACTGCACCTCTTGCTTACAAAGAGAGCGCTTTTACCACTACACCACTACCGCAACTACTTTTAGCAAGCGCTTTTACCACTACACCACTACCACAAATATTTATTTGCTCAATTTCATCACTTTTATACACTTCATTTTGACTCAAAGATTTGAGTTAAACATATCTGAGAAAATTATAAGTCAAAATAAGTTTATAAAAAGTTTGATCATAAATGGTACATTTACATCTTTGATAAATGGTGCACTGCAACCTTTTTTACTTGGAGTTTTGTATGTATAATTAGTATGATTGCTTGATGACATTATGGAATTACCAAATTGTTCTTGTGAATTTCTTGAAAACTATTTTTTTGTTTCTTAACATATTAGTTTTATGTTTACTATATCAGTTATTTAAACATTTTTTTATATTTTTGTCTCATCTTTTACAGTTTACAGGTTGAGTTAATATTTTTTTGAAACTATTTTTGTTTTTTCATGTTATTTATGTTGTAAAACTGTATAAAACAGCATTGCAAAGTTGTTCAACATTAACACAAGCTCTTTATTATGATTTTCAAAACTTTGACATTTGTTTTATTGTTGTTTTATAGTTTTTCACAATTCTTTAAAAATTGAACATATCTTTACTTTTTAAAAATACACGTTTTATCAGAAGCATGAACATATTAAATAGTTTTCTATAACTAATTAAAGTGGTTTTAAATATTTTAATATTTGTGCTTTTACTTTAATTTTTTTAAGTTTAATTAATTGATAAAAGTGATATCGTAATAGTATTATTTTATTATTATTTTTTTTTACATCTTCGCTTCCAACAAGGCTGCAAGCAACCACTATAAAAAGTTGGAAGTTACTGGAAAAGAAAAAATAAACTTTGTAGAGCAAGATAACGATTGACAGATGACTTGAAAGAATGCAAATTATATAAATCAGGAAAGCAAGATGAAGGAAGTGAATTCCAAATACTAATGTTCGAGGAAAAAAACTAGACAAATAAGAGTTTTTAGAGCACTTAGAAACAGTCACAGAAAAAGGATGAGACTTAATTTAATGACAAGTAACACCAAAATGAATTTTAGTAGATGGCACAAGAGACATTAGCTCTTTAGAGCAGTGCCTTTTATTATACATTACTTATTATATTATATTAAAACTTGCTCATGACACTTTAACTTAAACTTTAAATTATAACTGAAGGTGTAAATTATAAATGGAAATTATGCTATTTTGAGCTTCTCTAAATAAAAAAAACATAAGAAAATAATTAGATATGAAAGAAGTAATGCTAAAAAATAACAATTACGAACTAATGTAGAAAAGATTAGATTACAATTTTATAGTAACAAAACCCCCCTCCCTTACCACAAAGCAGCTCAAGGAGGAAAAGATAGGGGGAGAGGGAAGCTTAAATTTTTTTTTCTTGCAATTAAATTTTTTGCATTAATTAAGCCCATATATATATATATATATATATATATATATATATATATAATATATATATATATATATATATGGACATAAGTTAAAAATGGAATTCCATTTTAAACTTATGTCCATATATATATATATATATATATATATATATATATATATATATATATATATATATCTATATATATATATGTAAAAAAAATATATAAAAAAAATATATTTAAAAAAAATTTAAACTTAGTGTTTTTGTATTAGAAAGAACACATTTAGAAAGTGAAAGCATATATATATATATATATATATATATATATATATATATATATATATATATCACTAAGTTTAAATTTTTATTAAAAAAAATTTAAACTTAGTGTTTTTGTATTAGAAAGAACACGTTTAGGAAGTGAAAGCAGATTATTTTTTAAAAAGTTGTTTTTTGGGACACCCAAATATATATATATATATATATATATATATATATATATATATATATATATATATATATATATATATATATATATATATATATATATATATATATATACTCTTGCATGTCTCTTGCGTGGCATCAAAAAATGTTTCCCATAAACTGTTTTAAAGAGCGCGTTAATAAACCACACCAGAAAAAGTTTTAAAAATTAAATTTTTTTTTTAATTGATAGACAGCCTGGCCAAACCAAACCCTCAGTCGATGTAGCAGCACTCTCTTGCGAGTCAGGCTATTTGTCAGTCGTTGTAGCAGCACTCCCTTGCGAGTCAGGCTATTTGTCAGTCGATGTAGCAGCATTCCCTTGCGGGTCAGGCTATTTGTCAGTCGATGTAGCAGCACTCCGTTGCGAGTCAGGCTATAAGATAGTCGATGTAGCAACATTTACGCATGTTTTAAAAATGTTATTTATTAAATCAATAACCAAAACACCACTAATTAAAAAAAACTTTCTAGTCGTTGTAATTGCGGTTTTTTAAAAATTTTTTAAAAAACAATTAAATTTAATGTATTTCCGCATAAATTAATTGCTTTGACATTTCGATGACAATCAAAAACAGCTTAAGAGACAAGGTAATTAAAATTGTAGTCGTAAGAGACTTTTTTTACATTAAAATGCTCTTAAAGCTACACTATATGGGTAAATGTATATATATATATATATATATATATATATATATATATATATATATATATATATATATATATATATATTTAAATATGTAAATATATATATATATATATATATATATATATATATATATATATATATATATATATATATATATATATATATATATATATTTACATATTTATATATTTTTAAAAATTTATATATATTTATAAAAGTTCATATATATTTGAATATTTTTATACATTTAAATATTTATATATATTTAAATATTTATATATATTTATATATATTTATATATTTATATACATTTAAATATATTTATATATTTAAATATATTTATATATTTATATACATTTAAATATTTATATATATTTAAATATTTATATATATTTATATATTTAAATATATTTATATATTTATATACATTTAAATATATTTATATATTTATATACATTTAAATATTTATATATATTTAAATATTTATATATATTTATATATTTAAATATATTTATATATTTATATATACTTATATATTTATATATATACATATTTATATATTTTTAGGCTCAAATTAACTCAATAAATTAAAATTGCAACAAAAAGTAGTTTAACCTCCTTGTTCCTCCCTAATGTATTTAAAAGAACCCCTAATTTAAAGTTAAGACAAAAACATTATTTTTGATAAAGGCCAAAAATAATCCTAAACTATAAAATAAATAAAATTAAGAAAAAAGGAAATCAAAAACAAACAAAAATTTTTTAAAATATAAGATAAAAAAAAAAATAATTGCCAAGTTGTGAAAGACTTTCGCAATACCCTTCTTTTTTCAGCCTTGTATATATCAATGGTTGGTCATCACAATGTCGTCAATATCCAGATTTAGTTTCTATGTTTTTGGGTAATAACATTGCAATCAGTCTTTTTTAGGAGACGCACACACTTTTTTTAGTATAATTATTTAGAGTTACCTAAATTGTTTGGGATTGTTCTAGTCTATAAACCATTATTATTGATTTTGTTTATTTAGTTTAGATAAAAAAAGTTTAAAATAATTTTAAAAGGAATGTTATCGAATTTCATTATCAAATAACATCAGTTTCTATAGCAGGTTAGCACTACTATATGAAATGAAAAATTAACAGGTACCATCAATTTTTGTACTGTTGAAAATTAGACTTTTCTTATAGTTATTTCACAAAAATATTAACTCAAACTGTGGCAACACTTAATACTAAACCTGAATTAAAAACAAATTTAATTTTGTATTTTAGACAAAAATAATTTCACAAAAACATCAGCTCAAACTGTAGCAACTGTAACAGATTAAACTAATATAAAAAAAATCTTTAAATAATTGATATTGCAAACATTAAATTAATATGATAAAAAACGAAAAAATATTCGTTTGAGAATATTTTTTCGAATATATTCTTGAACAAATATTTTTTCATTTCAAGAACATTTGGAAATTTCATAATGTCATGAAAACAAATATGCTGATTATGCATACAAAACTCCAAGTATCAATAGGATGCAGTGCATCATTCATCAAAGATATAAATGTACAAATTATCATCAAATTTAGTAAAAACTTATTTAATGAAGCAATAATTGTTTAATTAATGAAGCAATAATTGCTTCATTAATTAAATAATAATTATTTAATTAATGAAGCAATAATTGTTGAATGCCTATATTAGTAAAATGCAATGGCATTTTACTAATATAGGTATTGCCAAAGAAAAATAAACTTAACTGATAGGTTAAAGTGGGAGCTGTTTATTTGTTTATGTAGGCTTTCAACTTCTATTAAAAAACATATTAGACTGTATTTAGGATTTATTTCTTCATTGTTTTTTCTGACTTTTTCCTAAACATAAGCGTTAGAATGTATCCATCAGATAGTTTGCTTGTAATAAAAAAAAAAATTTTTAAATACAATTAAATAAAATAAGGGAATTATATTGGATAAGAGTAAAGTTTTTATTTTATTTACTATTATTTGAAACAATTTTATAATCTAGCTGACCATTTATTCATTATTAGTAACGAAGAAGGCATAAACTTTCTGGCTTATTGCTATTCTGCAGTGCTCTGTAATAGGACCATTAGGACAATTTAGAGCACCAATTTTCTGAATTTAACTGCTCTTTCTGACATGTTTGAAGCAAATCAGATACTTATTTTTAAAATGACAAAAATTAAAACATAAAATTAGTATTATTTTAAATTTTCTATAAATTATCAAAAAACATAGAGGTTTGAACTTCTTTTGTTTAATATAGTAATACATTTTTAAACACTATAAAAGTTATATATCTGTGTTTATAAATTTATAACTTGAATTAATAAGCCTGAATACAAACGTTCCCAATCAGTTAAATCAATTAAGAAGTATATAAAGTTGTTTTTTAATGTTCTTTGATGTAAATAAGTTTTGTATAAATGACATTATATTACTAATAATCTTAAATTTTGTTTAGATAATGATAATCTGCCAAATACTCTGCTTTTCCCAAAAGGTTTGAAAATGATTTTATTTTTAAATTTAATCCTTTACTTTGCAGTAGTAGTAATAAATAATGTTGCATAATGATATGTATATGATTTTGTAACTGTACTATATAATATTTACATTTACTCATAGAGTTAGTGGTTACATCAAATAGTTATGTGATTGTAATGCTTATTTTGTATATATAGTTTTATTCTTATTATATTAAAGTATATGCCGTAAATTTTAGAACTTATTTGATATAAATTATTAAAGTTTATCAAAGTAAGTATTTTGCATTTCTCATAGATTCTGTTGTAGTGCTTGATGAATATATATTGAAAAAAGATAATCTAGTTGCGACATTACCATCGCTTGAAAAAACATATTTAGTGTCGTTCAAAATAAAACCCAATTTGTTTTCACCAGGATACAAAAACATTATTCATTTGACTACTGGTGGAGATGCAAGTGATTATGGATTTAGAATTCCTAGTGTATATTTGTATGACACAGGAAAACTTTCTATTTGGTATGCATCGAATTGGTATTCTACTAGCGAATACATTGTACCTCAATCACTATCTTTAAATGAATGGACAAGCATTAGAATATCTCAAGATCGATATAACAGTATATACTTCTTTAGAATTTATATAAATGGGACGCTAATGATTGACATTAAAAACTCATTTCCATATTCATTTAAAAATGTTAAAGTGTATTGTGCAGATCCTTGGTATGAAACTCAACCTGCTAGTATTAAAGATCTAAGAATATATAGTGGAAATGTTGGTAAGATAATAATTTACTTTTGCAAATTATGCGTTTGATTGTTTACATGCAGTATATTATATATATATATATATATATATATATATATATATATATATATATATATATATATATATATATATATATATATATATATATATATATAATTCTGTATATACAAAAGTTTCTTAAGTATAACTTATAATTATTAATACGCAATAGTCTAAATCTATACAAATATAGTTATGCATATGCATGTTTTTACTTATAAATGTATATATATATTTATATATATATAAAATGTATCTGCATTTATTGTATGTATGATACTGCTAGAAGTTAACCATCTTTTGACAGTGGTTTAGCATTTTTGTCGGTAGAAGCGCAAACGTAAACGCTTCAACATTTGATAATTTTGGCTTCACACTCAGTGACACTATCATTTGGCTTTCTAAATATGTCTACACAATTTTTTGGACAACCTTAAAGTGCATATGGATGTACCTAGTGCAATCATATTCTTATAATTTTCATTTATTTATAAATTATTTAACAATTAAGATTAGTGTAATTGTAAGATACATTTGAGTAATGAGATTCAGTGCTCATATAGATGCAAGTAAGACGTATTTGTTTATCTAGAATATTATGATATTATTGTTTTCGTTTGAGTCATGCATTTCAGAAGAATTAGTATTTTAATTGAAGCCATAAAGAACATAACTAAAAAAAACTTAAAAATTTGTATATATTTATTTTTGGTTTTTTCCAAAATCCAAATTAAGTTCAAAGTTCTTTAACAGCGGTTCTCAGTGACAAGACCTCTATGGTCCTTACTGAGTGTCCGCATTCTTTATCTTTATTCTTTATTTTTTAACAATTCCTTTGCATGTAATTTTCCTTATTGATATATGTGTAAATAATTTATTTTATATAAAGAATAATTCTAATTAATTCTGCGGTTGACGATCTCTCACATGTTATTGATAGAGTTGAGATTCGGAGATTGAGGCGGCCAATCCATCACCCATAGGTGGTTGTCTTGTAACCACTGCATGACTACTTTTGCAGTGTGTTTCGGATCGTTGTCTTGCTGAAAAACCCATTTTATTGGCATATTCCATTCCGCATGAGGTAACATAACATCATTCAGGATTTATTTTTACATGAAATGGTCCATTATTCCATCGATTTGATGTATTGGACCTAGACCGTTAGTCGCGATACAAAAGCAATTACCATGCTTCACTGTCTTATGACAGTAACGTAAATTGAGGTGTTTTCTGACCGGACAAGATACACAGCAAATGCCATCGCTCTCAATGATATTGAACTTCGATTCATCACTGAACAGGACAGTTCTCCATTTCTGCACATTCCAGTCAATATGAGATGTAGCAAACAGGAGTCTTTTCTTCTGGTTCTTTAGTGAAATCAGCTGTTTTTTTGCAGGGCGTTGAGCAAACAATCCGGCTTCAACAGCATGTTGTCTGATTGTTTGGTCCGATACAGGCAGGTCTAATTACTTTTGTATCTCGACTAATGATATTCAGAGATCCCTCTTGACGGATCTGACCATCATAGAATCTTCTTTAGAAGTGGTGGAACGCGGTCTTCCACCTTTGTTATCTGCTGCCAATTTCCCCGTAGAAAGAGATTTGAAACATAATGTTAATATGGTCCATTTTTCACGCGATTTTCATCACAAATTTTTTTATGTGACATTCCACTTAGGTAATCGCCAATAGTTTTCTTTCTTAGTTCCAATCCAAGACTGTCGGGAGCCATTTTTGCACCTAAAGTCATAAAAATAAATAATCACGCTTCTCAAGGCGTACCGTGTTACATTTACCTTGTTATGATACAATAATGCTCCATATAAGTTGTGAAAAACTTCTGTGACTTTGACACAGACCAGACTTAATAAAATGAAACAAACCAAAAAAGTTGCACTTGTTTTGATCGCTGCAAAATTGAACTTGTCAACGAAATTCTGCCTGTGTGCTGTCACCTGTCAGCTGATTCCTTATAACATGGCATGCCATGACTCCAAACTCCTGAACTGTTTGCTGTGGTAGTATAGTTCGTTTTGTTTTTAAGGCATGTAAAATTAGGAACACTTTTTAGCATTGTTTGATGTTGGTTGCAAATGTTTTGTCCAATACTGTATATGGCTGATGATTGCCAAACTTGCATAAAACTTTATGTTCCATTATAAAGTTGTATGTATGTATTTTCACATGCATTTAAAGAAATATGTTAATATATATATAATTATATATATTATTTTAATATCGGATATCTTAAGGATAAGGACAAATATACTGAAAAAGTTTGTTAAAAGTGCAAGTTTTTAATGGTAACATACTTGATTATCAAACATTTTTTAATATGTCGTTACGACTCGTACAAGAAGATTTTTTATTCAACTGCTCTCTTGAAATTCAACAACTCTCTTGAAATCTTTATTGTGTGGGTTACAGAATATTTTTTGTAAGTAAATACAATAGAAATGGCAGTATTAGTAAAGTTACTAATAATTATTTTTAATTTTTAGAATTTGAATCAGGAAATAGCTCTTAGGCATAATGGTTAATCGAAACAGTGGTGGAAAAGCTGGACAAAATTCAAGTTCATAAGTTACTAATAATTATTTTTAATTTTTGGTATTTTAATCAGTAAATAGCTCTTAGGCATAATGGTTAATCGGAACAGTGGTGGAAAAGCTAGACAAAACTCAAGTTCATAAATCTTGATGTGACACTTGTGGTTATCAGTTTTTAATTTGATGTCTAGTGTTTAGACCTGAAATAGTTTCATATGGCCAATTTTGTAAAAAATTAATAACGCCTATTTTGTATATAGTTGCATATTGACATTATTGCATGGTATTTTATCTATCTGCATCATAAACTTGAGATTTAGAGTTCAAACCACAAAGGGTGTGCATCATCTATTTTTAATTTTATATTGTCCAAACTATCATTTGTTTTCATATACACTTTTTTTATCTACTCGTTTTACTGTTTTATATTGCAAGGTTCCTTTTAACGGTTAGATATCGTAAACCTCAGGACGTCCAGCTAAAACCTCAGATGATTTTAATATGCAATATTCATCAATTGATGAGTTTCATTGCTTCAGCAAACTTGTCATTTTTTTTTCACTTTTTTCATTTAGTTTTCGTATACTTATTTTTTGATTTCAGAAAATCATATGGTAGACAAATCAAACATAAAATCATTTTTTTGCATTTTAATTGTAAATCCTTTTTAACCATTTACATAAAGTTCATTAACTTACTCTTTAGTCAACATAAACATATTATGTATGTAATATTTACTCCATTTAAACAAAATGTTAAGCCATAAAAAACCAATTTAAGAACCAATTTTTTTGTTGATTTTATACATTAATTATTAAACTCAATGGTAATGAAATAATATTTCAATGAAGTAACTTTTAGTGGTATTAAAATAACATTCAAAATCTTAAATTTTTTTTATTCTATTAAGATAATGATCCCATGAAAGTTTCAAAATTCAATTTAGCTAGAGAGCTATATTTTAGCTATTAATTTTTTGTTTTCTGCTTATGTTTTGTCATCATCACTTATAGTTAACAAATTTTGAACAATAAACAATAAACACTTTTAGTACAAAATTGTTTTAATTTTTTAACTTTAAGTTTTGGAGGAATAAATCTAATCATTATTAAATTTTAGAGCAACTGATAGAAGATAAAGAAACACTTTTGTTTCAAAACAAACTGGTGGCGATTGTTCCTATATTGGACAAAACTTATAAAATTTTTTTTGATGTGAAACCAAACTTGTATTCTGAGGGTTGGCACAATGTAATTCTATTTAACATTAATTCTGATGCAAATGTCTTTGATGATAGAGTTCCAGGAGTGTGGTTTCATAACAGTGGTGATGGCAGTCTTTCAATCACTGTTCCTCGAAATGGAAATATTAACAATTCCTTTAAAACAGCTCCTATTCCTTTTAACATGTGGTCACACATTGAAATAAGTCAACAGTTAGAATATAGTGCGTATGTGTATACAATAAAATTGAATGGAGAAAAGGTTTTTTCAATAGAAAATATTCTTCCTGAGTCCTATGCAAATGTTCGTGTTTATGCTGCAGATCAATCTTATCAAGCTCAAGATGGTTTTATAAAAGATTTTGCAATAATAAACGGAAAAGCAGGTATTTATAAAGAATCTAAAACTGTTACTTCTTTGATAAATGCTTTATATATTTATATTTAAATAAGAATTTAGCTGTTTTGCTTGATGGCCAGAACCAGATATTGCTTTACTAATAAAGCTTATTTGTTTTGGGACTCCTTTTTTAATGAGATCATCACATCAGGCATTTACAATATTTAGAATAGTGTTTTTTAAATATATTTTTAATGGTTTTTGCGGAGAAATAGTCTTGAGTAAATGTTCTTAGTAGAGTTTAGCAGATCGATTTGGCAATGTTTTTAAACTTAATATCAATAAACTTTGTAGCTTTTGATTTTTTGATTTGTCTTAAATCATTCGGGTTAAATAATTTCTAAGTTCATATACTTAGTTAGCAAACTTTAATATCAGATATCTAATATCAGATATTTAATATCTAATATCAGATTTAAAGTTATTGAATTTTGTTAGTGGCAAAAGTAAGATTGAATTTTTTGGTACCAGGTCGTAAACATGTCATATTTGATGTTTCTCAAATCTATTTACTTGTATTCAGTAAAACAAATATTTAATCTTTAATTTGAGATCTGATTTTTGTTTACTTTGAGAATTTAATTTATTGGGTGTTATGTGGTAACTTAATAAAATAAAATCTCTTCCAGGTTACTATTTTTTTGAAAACATTTCATATTTAGACTCACTTTCAACTTCTGTTAATTTTTAATTTTTTTTATCAGAAACAAACTTTAAATCAGAAATGAGTTTGTAGTTTTTTTTTTAATGATTCGATAGGTGAATGTGATTTTTTCAGATTTATTGAATTATTGATGATATGAAAGTACCAGCATAAGCTTATTTATTGCTTTCTTATCTTTAGTATACTCTATTATATACTAGTATTTTTAGAAAAACAGTTTTCTTTTGTGTTAGCAAAATATCTGAGATAAAAAGTTGGTAATAAACAGGTTGAATATTGTAGATTGTTGCAGTAATGAAACCAGGGGGTATGTATTCAAAATTTATTGTATAGTTTATTTTATTTCGTACCAAACTGCAGATCCAAGCACTTTAGAGACATTAGAAAAGTGAAATAAGTTTTAAAAAATTTGATCATAAATGGTACATTTACATCTTTGATGAATGGTGCACCGCAACCTTTTGATACTTGGAGTTTTGTATTTATAATCAGTATGATTGTTTGCATGACATCATTGAATTTCCCAATGTTCTTGTAAGTTTCTTTGAAACACTTATTTTTGTTTCTTAACATATTAGTTTTATGTTTGCTATATCAGTTATTTAAATATTTTTACAGTTGCTACAGTTAGAGTTGATGTTTTTGTGAAACTATTTTTGTCTGAAATAGAAAATCTGTTTTTAATTCAGGTTTTTTATTCAGTGGTGTTACAGTTTGTTTTTTGTAAAATAACTATAAGAAAAGTCTAATTTTTAATAGTAGAAAAGTTGATGGTAACTGTTACTTTTTTCATTTCATATAGTAGTGCTAACCTGCTGTAGAAACTATGATGTTATTCGATAATGAACTTATATTCTTTTTAAAATTATTTAAGTTTAAACTATATGCATAAAATAAACATTAATGGTTTATTACTTAGAATAATGCCAAAACAATTAAGGTCATCTTAAATAGTTATCTTAGAAAAGTCCGTGTGTCTCTTAAGAAAGACTGGTTGCAATGTTTTTACCCAAAAACTAAGATTCTAAATTAGGATATTGGCAACCTAGTGATGACTAACCCTTGGTGTATACATCTCTCAAATTAAGTTTGTCGCGATTGCTTTTAACATGTTCACAATTCGTTTTTTTTTTTTGTTCAAATATTTTCACGAGTTGTTTTTTGTTTTTTTGTTTTTTTTTTGGTTTTGTTTCTTTTCTAATTTTACATTATTTAGCCTTTCTTAAAACTAATATTTTTGTCTAAATTTTTTATTTGGGGTCATTTTTTTTTATTTATTTATTAAATAGAATTATGATTACTAGCTCTCTTGCAGTAGGATTTCTATTCAACATAAAGCATTTTTGAATTTTATTTACTTTCTATCTCTGTGTGGAAGCCAATAATTTTTTAAAATTAAATTTAGTTTCATTAATTGAATGGATAATATATGAAGCTGTAAATTAACCTTTCAATTAAATTAAAATAACCAGGCAGGTTACTAGAGTAACTTACAGTTACTCTTCTAATAAATATACTAAATATACCCAAAGACTTGCAAAATTTAGCTATACAAATTTCACTATTTTTATCTTTTATGTTGTTTACACATAATGTAAGCTCCAAACTTAAATTTATTGTAGCAAAAAATTTTGAATAGAATATGGAAATCACGATACCATTTTCTTATATTTTTATTTTGTTAAAAACGATATCAAGAATAAACATTTTCCATAAATACACAAGGTGTTTTTTAGAATTTTTTTTTTTAGAAGCATATTTACTTTTTAGTTAATAACCTAATAGTTATTTAAATTTCTCTTTTTCAAATAATTCTACATTTAAAGTTTGAAATGAAAGAAAATCGGAAAAATTTAAAAGAATTCTAACTCACAATAACTTTCTTGCAGCCGCTTTAGTAATACACAGTTGCATAACGAGGGTCATTCCTCAAATATAAACATATATAAAGCTACAGTAAATCGGATTTAAAACAGTGCATGTGAGGTAGAAAGTTTAATTCGTAAATATTTTGAACAGTAATTTATTTGTTTTTCTTTAAAATGGTTTTAACATAGGCAACAATATATAAGAAACCAGTAAGTATTTCAAACTTTAAACCAAAAATTAAATTATAGATAATCAAATTAAAAAAACAGTTATTTTACTTTTGTTTATGGGAACCTTTTTTCTTAAAAAGTAATTTAATCATGTATATTCAATCTTAAGAAAATATAGTTAGATTTATCAGACCAAGTTTTCACTTAAATTGCAAAATATTTTGTATGAAAAAGTTGAATGAAAACATTAACTTAAAAACCATTTGAATAAAAAATATGATTATACTTTAACTTTTAATTGTGTGCTAGATCAAGAAACAATAAAGTATAAAATATGTGGTATATAATGCAGAATTAAACAAAATGCAGAATTAACAGAATTAAAATGCAGAATTAAACAAAAGCTTTAACAATCTATACAAACAATTTCTTGTTATTCAAGAAAATTTTTTTTTTTTTTTTTTTTACTTAATTTAGTTTTTAATGTAACTATAATTTAATACAATTTATAATATGCTTTACAAATATTACGAATTAAAATAAAAATTAGTGTAAACATGTAAATAATAATAGACATAAAAATAAAACAAATACTAAAATATAAGTTTAAAAAAAATAATTAATTGCAATCTTTTATTATAAATGATAAAAACCAGTCTATTTAATTCAAAAAAATATCTATTAAATATGTTTCATAATAAAATATATTTCAAAAAATAAAATAAAAATCGTATTTGCTTACAATCACTTGGTAGCAAAATTGTATTTTATTGAAATCAATTAAATTTTATTGTTCTGCTCAATTTGTCCAATAAAAATCTAAAGAAATGCAATCAAACCTTTGTCACAAGAAATGTTAAATCTTATGATCTCGAAGAAAGGATTTAAGCTCAAAAAATGAAATTGGAAAAAAAAAAAAATACTACGTTTTTTGAAAAATACCATACCATGCAAAATGTTTTGTAAACTATTATAAATACATAAATATGTTTACTTTAGCAAACTTTTAGCAAATTAGTTTTAATGATAGCTAAAATTAAACCCATTTTCTTTAACTTATCAAGGAATATTATAATTTCTTTTATATAAATATGAATTTTATATAAATATAATAATGTATAATATTCTAAAAAATGTATTTTATTATAAATGATAAAAACCAGTCTGTTTGATTCAAAAAAATTTTAATGCTTTGGAAACATTAAAAAAATGAACCAGCTCAAAAAAATGACGTATTTTGTTAACTTTTTCTATTTTGTATAAAGAATAAAAAGTTTAAAAAATGAAGTTTATATTCACTACTGAAATTTATTAATAATTTTGAAACAACTAATTTAATTAAAAAATAAATGCACATAAATTATGGTTCAGTCAAAATGACAGATATATTTCATTTTTTCCAGATAAATGCCGGGCCTGTATAGGCCTTTTCATCCTTCATATATGGTAAAATCCCGCATATATAGGCTTTTTTTTATAAAATCTCGTATAGGCTTTTTACAGCCACCACCTCACTGATATATATATATATATATATATATATATATATATATATATATATATATATATATATATATATATATATATATATATATATATATATATATATATATATATATATATATATATATATATATATATATATATATTTATATATATATATACATATATATATATATATATATATATATATATATATATATATATATATATATATATATATATATATATATATATATATATATATATATATATACATATATATACATATATATACATATATATATATATGAATATATATATATATATATACATATATATATATATATATATATATATACCTATATATACATATATATACATATATATACATATATATATATATATATATATATATATATTTATATATTTATATATTTTTAAAAATTTATATTTATTTATATTAATTCATATTTACTTATATTAATATATATATATATTTATATATATTTAAATATATTTATATATACTTATATATTTATATATATATATATATTTAAATATATTTATATATACTTATATATTTGTATATATACATATTTATATATTTTTAGGCTCAAACTAACTCAATAAATTAAAATTGCAACAAAAAGTAGTTTAACCTCCTTGTTCCTCACTAATGTATTTAAAAGAACCCCGAATTAAAAGTTAAGACATAAACATTACTTTTGAGAAAGGCCAAAAATAATCCTAAATTATAAAATAAACAAAATTAAGAATAAAGGAAATCAAAAACAAAAAATA